AAAAAAAAAAAAATTAGCCGGGCGTGGTAGTGCATGCCTGTAGTTCCAGCTACTTGGAAGGCTGAGGTGGAAGGATCACTGGAGCCCAGCAGGTCGAGGCTGCGATGCCCAGGAGCATGCCACTGCACTCCAGTCTGGGCAACAGAGTGAGATGCCAACTCAAAAAAAAAAAAAAATAGTCAGTGAAGAATTTCCCTTGGCCATCGTTGTTACTTAAATGTGGGGGGTCGAATGGTGACCCTGTGCCCCAAAGACATAGGTGCATGTTCTAATCTTCAGAACCTGTGACTGTGACCCTGTTTGGAAATAGTTTGTGCAGATGTGGTTAAATTAAGGATCTGAAAATTAGCTCATCCTGGGCTTTCCAGGTGGGCCCTTGGTCCAGTGACAAGTGTCCTCATAAGAGACAGAAGAGGAAAAAACACAGAGGAGGAGGCCACATGGAGAGGGAGGCAGGGACTGGAACGACGTGACCACAAACCAAGGGATGCTTAGAGCCGCGGAAAGCTGAAGAAACAGGAGGGACCCTACCTTGAAGTCTCCAGAGGGAGCATAGCCCTGAGGCACCTTGATCTCAGACCTATGGCCTCCTGAGCGGCAAGAGAATGAATTTATGTTGTTTTGAGCCACCCAGTTTGTGGCACTTTCTTATGGCAGCAACAGGAAAATAATACATTACGAAAATACCCAAATGTAGCCAGACGTGATGGCTCACACCTGTAGTCCCAGCACTTTGAGAGGCTGAGGCAGGAGGATTGCTTGAGGCCAGGAGTTCAAAACCAGCCTGCGCAACATAGCAAGACCTCATCTTTACAAAAATTTTTAAAAATTAGCTAGGTGTGGTGGTGTGCACCTGTAATCTCAGCTACTTGAACAGCTGAGGCAGGACTGCTTGAACCTAGGGGGTCAAGGCTGCAGTGAGCTGTGATCATGCCAGGGCACTCTAGCCTGGGTGACAGAGTAAGACTCTGTCTCAAAAGAAAGGGGGGGGAGGGGGGAGAAGAAAAGACAAGAGGAAAATGTGTCACTGCAGGGTCACTTCAGAAAGTGCCAATTGTGAAGGACAGTCTGCCAGTCACGGTTATTCGGATGGGGTTACTGTGATGAGTCACTCTCATGTCCGTTCTGAATTGTTTTTCCAGGAAAAACATTCAGGTTTTCTTTGCAGAGATAAGCTTTTATTTTATTTTATTTTTTGAGTTGAATTTTCACTCTGTTGCCCAGGCTGGAGTGCAGTGGCATGCTCACAGCCACCCCAGCGTTGACCTGCTGCTGGGCTCTGGTGATCCTTCTGCCTCAGCCTTTCAAGTAGCTGGAACTACAGGCAAGCTCTACTATGCCTGGCTAATTTTTGATTTATTGTGGAGACGAGGTCTTGCCAAGTTGCCTGGACTGGTCTCAAATCCGGGGGCTCAGGAAATCCACTTGCCTCAGCCTCCCAAAGTGCTGGGATTACAGGCTGAGCCACCAAGTCCAGCTGAGATAAGTATTTAATGTATAGGTCTGAATTATTAAGTAGAGATGGCTAAAAGATGTGATAATTGAACATTTTAATTTTCATGTTTGTAGAAGCAGAATAGAAACCATGAATGAATATATTCTCAAAAAATTTGTCTTATATAAAATACTATGGCCGGGCACAGTGGCTCACACCTGTCACCCCAACACTTTGGGCAGCCAAGGCAGAGGGATTGCTTGAGGCCAGGATTTGAGGTTGCAGTGAGCTATGATCACACAACTGCACTCCAACCTCAGCCACAGAGCAGGACCTTGTCTTTTAAATAAATCAACAATAAATAAATCAACAATACATACAATAAAATGAAGAATCTGAAAACTCATTTCCTTATTCCCTTTTCTGTCCTAGAAGGTGTAGCACATTTGCTTGTGGGTGTGTCATCGGATGACACAGTGCAAAGGAGGAGGGACATCCTTGTGGCCTAATTTATAGAGACCCGAGGCAGGGACAGTCTTGTCAGAGAGAAATGGGAAAGCTGAGCTTTTCCACCTCAGGAGCTGCCAGGTGTGGCGTGTGCGCTGCGGATGGACATGCCCCAGCTGGTCACAGGCTGCTGTCCATGTTTGCTGCTGCCATGCCAGACTGGGCCTCTCCGGTTGTCTGTATCTCAGCTGCACAGACATGCTCCGGCGAAACACAGGGGCATTCCCAGAGACACCGAATTTCTTCACCCAACCTGCCTTTCCGCAGGTCCCAGAGCCTCAGCAGATGCCCCTGCACAGGCCTAGAACTGAGACCAGAGGGTCAGGCAGCATTTCCATGTCTCAGGCTGTATCTTCAGGAGTGACAGATGGGTGCGAGGATTCACCCACAGGGACTTCATGGAAGTGGTGTCCACAGGGTAAAACATGAAAACAAAGGTTCCACTGTAGGGTCTGTTGAATAAATGAGGCATGTTCAGACAGCAAAAAACTGGATGGGCTAGGCACCACAGCTCACACCTGTCATCTCAGCACTCCTACGTGGGAGACTTGCTTGTGGCCAGGAGTTCTAAACCAGCCTGGGCAACACAGTGAGACCGCAACATGTACATTCTAAATCCAGAGTAAAGCACTCTTGGCATGTGGGTGTGGATGGAGCTCACAGTGACCCCGGGGGTGGGGAGCCTCACTGAGTTAGGTGTTCTCGTGGTGGTGCTCTGGGCTCTCCCATTAGCCATTCCCAAGCCTAACTCTCCGTGGCTGGGCCTGAGCAGCAGAATGGCACTGGAGTATTAGGGTCTCCTGTGTTTTGAGGCCAACTCCAGGGCACATGTTGTGGAGACGGAGTGGGAGTCCTTGCCTCTGGGCGGCTCCTGGATCCAGGTTGGGACAGACTCAATTGAACCATCGTGGTTTCTTCTGCAGCCTGCTGGCTCTACCTGGCAGCAGGGCCCAGAGTGTGAGTCGCATCCACGTCTCGTCCTCTGTGCCTGTGTTCTTCTGGTGCTTGTCATCTGCTGCCTCAGTGCCTCTGGGGAGATGTGTCTGATCCCACACTGTGCCTGGGGCCTGTCACCAAGGACTGCCACCTGCTCAGTGAGGCCTGAGGGCGCCGAGGTGGGTCTGACAGGGACAGGTTAGGCAATCAGGGTCGCCCATCCCACCTCTGCTGCCTATGCTGGGCTCTGGCCTGTCCCCAGTGGTCTCTGGACTTTGTTTAGAAGAGCCCTTGAGAGTGGAGCCTGAGCCCAGGGTCAGTCTTGCTGGCCCTGCTGCAACAGCGGGTGGACAAATGGGTGCACTGTGAGTGGACCATCTCTTTAGGGACTGAGAGGCCAGGCCTGGCGCTGTGGTGGGAGCAGTAGGGGCTCCCCTTCCCACTTCCCCCTCCCTCCCCTCCCCCCATCTCCTTGGGGGGGGCAAGGTCCTGTGCAGTCAGAAGTGTGGCTGTGGATCTGGGGTATACCTGAGGTAGTCCAGAGTGAGGCCTAGGGCAGTCAGGGGTGTGGCTTGGCAATCAAGGGTGAGAGTGGTCAGGGGTGTGGTCTCAGTGGTCAGGGGTGTGGCAGTGGGAGTCAGGTGTATGGCCAGAGGTGGTCAGAGGTGTGGCTTGGCAGTCGAGTGTGTGGTCGAGCATGCGGTTGGGGGTGTGGCTTGGTGGTTAGGGGTGTGGCCGAGGCAGTTGGAGGTGTGACTTGGAGGTTGGGGATGTGGCCGAGGGTGATCAGGGGTGTGGCTTGGCAGTTGGGGGTGTGGCCAGAGAGGTCGGGGGTGTGGCTTGGCGGTCAGGGGTGAGGCTGACGCCTGGTGCCTTTGCTTTCCAGTGAACGAGTTCACGGTGATCAGGAAGAAGTTCAAGTGCCCGTACTGCAGCTTTTCGGCCATGCACCAGTGCATCCTCAAGCGCCATATGCGCTCGCACACCGGGGAGCGGCCCTACCCCTGTGAGATCTGCGGCAAGAAGTTCACACGGCGCGAGCACATGAAACGGCACACGCTGGTGAGCATGGGCTTTGCGGGTCACAGGCACCTCGGAATGGGGACACCCCGCGTGGGGATGACTGAGCAGGGTGCGGGGAGCTGCCAGATAGCACTGACCTGTCCCAAGGCCCAGGACCCTTCTGCTGGGCCTTGTTAGATGTAGCCGCCTCTGCTGGGAGCCAACCCTCGGCCACTCCTGTGCCCCCTGCCCTGCATTTGAGTGGGTCCCAGCCCTTGTTTGTTGACACCCCCTGTGCTCACCTGCCTGGCCTGGAGCTCAGCACCAGGTGGGTTAGGGTTAGGGAAAGGGTTAGGATTAGGGAAAAGGTTAGGGTTAGGGAGAGGGTTAGGATTAGAGGGTTAGGGTTAAGGTTTGGGAGAGGCTTAGTGCTAGGGTTAGGGCAAGTGTTAGGATTAGGAAGAGGGTTAGGACTAGGTTTATTGTTAGAGTTAGGGAGAGTGTTAAGGTTAAGTAGAGGGTTAGCATTAGGGAAAGTGTTAGGAAGATGGTTATGGTTAGGGAGAGGGTTCGGGTTTGGGTAGAGAGTATGTTAGCATTAAGAGAGGGAGAGGGTTAGGGTTAGAGAGACTGTTAGGGTTAATTTGAGAATAGTGGGTTAGTGTTAGAGTTAGGGAAATGGTTAGGAAGATGGTTATTGTTAGGTATAGGGTTATGGTTAGGAAGAGTATTAGGGTTAGGGTGAGGGTTAGGCTTAGGGAGATACTAGGGTTAGGGAGAGTATTAGAGTTGTCGTAGGGAGATTGTTTGGGTTTAGTAGAGAGTTAGGGTTAGGGAGAGGGTTAGCAAGATGATTACGGGTATGAAGAAGTTTAGGGTTAGGGAGTGTATTAGGATTAGAGTTAGGATGAGGGTTAGGCTTAGGGATAGTGTTAGGGTTAGGGAGAGGTTTAGTGTTTTGAAAAGGCTTAAGGTTAGTGTTAGGGTTCTGGAGTGCTGGTAGTGGATAAATTTGCCAGGTTAGAAGTGCCAGTACAAAAGCAGCTGGAGACAGAGAAGCACACCTGCCTTATAGGAAGAGGATGCTCATTGGGTGTGAGGACCCCTTAAGTCTGGGTGCACAGACCACTCAGCTTGGATCCACCACAGCCTCCCTGGCCAGTCTTCTGAATTCTGGAGACATCCTCAGCTAGATGCAGCACAAGGGCCATGTTTGCACTCAGGGATGACAGCTGCAGAAGGGCCTGGGGTGTCCTGGGCTCAGGCTGAGATTGGTTTGTATGGTGGGAAGGTACTGGGTCTCACCGTGGCTGGGGTTCTTAGGACCTGGGACATCAGTAGAGAAGAATATGGCCTGTCCCTGAGCATGCTGTCCTCTGTGGCCTGGCCCTCAGGAGGTGCCATATCCTGGTGTTGTCATGGCCCCTGGGCTTGGATGCACGTTTCTGTCCATCTGTCCCTGTAGTGAGCAGAGTCCACCTTCCCTCCTCTCCCAGGGTTGTGTTGGCTTCTGGGTGTTGGTTCTGACTTGATCTTTGCTGGTTCCCCAGTTCATCTGTCAGAGGCAACTTTAGAAGGCTCTGTTTGTTTCTGCTTTTTTCTCGTGGGGTTGGGGGTAGGGACATGGGAAGCCCTCAAGAAGGGTAAGCTTCTGAGATAGAGTCATAGAGCTGGAATGTGGCCCAGGGCTTCCAACCTGGCTGGGGTACTTATGTCCCCTGCCAGCATGTCCACCTGACTGGCTGTGGATGAAGGGTCACTCTGAGCCCCTGGGACCCCAGCCAGGGACGAGGCCTACAGCAGATATGGGACCAGACTGAGACTGAGCCTGGGGCTGGCTCTGGCCTTCCCGCATGCCCCATGTGTCCCCCGTGAAGTGGGGACAATGGAGAAGGGTGAGTCCAAAGAGGGGCCCTGGACCCTGAGGCAGCAGGTCCGAAAATCTGGGAGCAGGCCATGCCCCTGAAGCCGCAAAGGTCCTGGGCAGCTAGCGGTAGGACTTGGCGTTCCCTGGCTGTGTGTTTGTTTCTGCTCACATAAGCCACAGGGACAACCCTGCAGAATGACTCCTCAGACTCAGGCCCCACAGCGTGCCTGCATTTTCCTATTCAGAGAAAATTGTCTTGTTTTCTATGCAAATAGGTGCTGAAAAGTTTCCCCATGGGTTACGACATCTTTCTTTAGCCAAACTACGCTAACGTCTCAGTGTATGTCTTGGTCCTGTGTGAGGTGCACTGTGGCTGCCTGTGGCTTTACCTCAGAAGGACCGGGACTTTCATCCTGGGGTCATGGCTGGGCTTCAGAGCCTTAGGTCCCTGAAAAATGTATTTAAGGCATCTGGGGCTTGCCTTGTTGAGTATGGGTCTTCTCTGGGGCCCTGGTCCTGGGAAGACAGCCCCACAGGTGGGAAGGTGGCCTGCCTGGCCGAGGGTCACTTGTAACACTGACTGCTGTGTCCTCCCTGGCCCGTGGGGCCCCTCAGCTGGGATAGGACTCCATTGCATGGACAGGGCAGCATCTGGACAGGTGAACAGCCAGGCTCCTGCAGTCACAGCTCCATGGGCTCAATGCCCACATCCTCCCCCCGCCACTTCCTCTCAGGGCCTTTGTCCTTTCAGGCGAGCGCCCAGCCTTCTGAGCCTGTCCAAGAGGCTCCTGTGGCTCCTGGAGAGACTTTTGCTGCCCCCCTGGCATCCTGGCCCAGCCAAGCCCCCGTGGGAACCCAGCTGTGTCCCCTTTCTCGCTCCCTCTTCCCCCCTCCCGTGGAACAGCTTCTGCTGGGGATTGTCTTGAGTTTTTTACTTGTGATTGGAGGCCTTGGTTTACAGCAAAAACAAGCCAACCAAAACCTAAGGGAACAGTCTCTGTACCAAGCTATCTCAGGATCAGTTTACAGGGCTGGGTGTCTGGACATTCGAGGAAGCCTGGTAGTACTGCCCCAGCCTGAGGGCTGCCAGCTGCCCCTGAAGATCCCACATCCCCCCATGACCACCTGTCCCAGGCTACAGTCAGATCTCATGTGTTTGAAAGTCACTTTGGCAGTGGACACTTGAGTGGTCAGGGCTTTAGGGTTCCAGGTTTTGTGGAAGTTGGCAGCCACCCTGCTTTCAAGGAGGGCAGGCTCAGAAGGGGAGAGACATTCTAGGTGGCCTTGGTCCACCGATCTGGGAGGCAAGGACAGGGTGGGGGCTTGAGGAGGTGGGCAGCGCATGAGGACACAGGGTGAGGAGACAGCAGCCATGGTACCTACCTGTCGGGAAGTCTTGGCAGGTACATGGGAAACTGCTTCCGTCACGACATAGGTTGGGTGTGTCTTTATTATGGGGACAATACTGACTTCCTCGCAGCAGAAAACAGGAGAATTCAGAGTGGCATGAGGAAGAACTGAACACAGTCACCTCCCAACCTAGGTTCTCACAGCTGTGATGGCCCTTACACCACGGGGATGCCACTTGGATGGAGAAGGAGCCAGGGCTGCCTGGGTTCTGGGTGCTGCCAGAGTCTGAGGAGGACAGAGGCCCAGGCAGTGCCAGGCTCAGGCTGAGGGTGGACTGGAGGCTGGCTCACTTCAGGGAAGCCTCTGTGTGGCTTTGGCCGTCAGGCTGGGCTTCTTGCTGTAGGGTTCCTCAGTGTGTCCTGGCAGCCGTGATGGGAGACACAGCTGGTCCGTGCCCACGCCTGCTCAAGTTGCCTGGCCAAGGGTGCCTTTGCGCATGCACAGGGACCACCTCGCCCCATGCCCGGCCATGTGTCCTTGTGGACCAGTCTGCACAGGCTCCAGCTGTCCCTGCCTGCCTTCAGCAGCAGCACGTGATGCTCCTCTCAGAACCTGAGGCCTGTGGTGGAGCCCTCTCTGCAAGATGGGCACTTTCATGTGCTGCTTCTCCCTGCCGGGTACAGCACTGAGCAGGGACACGGCACTGGGCAGGGGCATAGTACTGGGCAAGGACACAACACTGGATAGGGGACACCACTGACAGGGAACACAGCCATGAGCAGGGACATGGCAGTGGGTGGAACATGGCAGTGGATAGGGACACGGCAGTGAATAGGGACATGGCAGTGGGTAGGGACATGGCAGTGGGTAGGAACAGCACTGGGAGGGACACCACTGTCTAGAGGACACCACTGGGCAGAGGACACAGCATCGGGTAGGAACATGGCAGTGGGCAGGGATACGGCACTGGGTAGGGACACAGCAGTGGTCAAGGACATGGCAGCGGTTGGGGATACAGCGGTACGAGGGGGCACGGCAGCGGGTGGGGACATGGCAGTGCACAGGGGCATAGTACTGGACACAGCAGTAGGTATAGCACTGGGCAGGGAACACAGCCCTGAACAGGGACACAACAGGGGGTAGGGACACAGCAGTGGGGAGGGACACGACAGTGGGTAGGGACACAGCAGTGGGCAGGGGGCAGCACTGGGCAGGGGACAAGGAGTGGATGGGGACATGGCAGTGGGGAGGGTCAGCACTGGGCAGGAGGCAGCATAGTCTCCTGTGTCACCTTCATTGCTAATCTCTGTAAGTGACCTCACAACATCCTGAGGAGGGAGGTGCCCCCTTTCACCTACAAGGAACCGGGTAGGGGCCCAACCCCAACCCTGGCTGTGCATGTGCAGCGTGATGGGGTGAGTGCAGGAGGGGTTCTGGGGGCTCCTGCCTAATGGGCTCTCTGAGCCTCCTGGAGGAGGTGTGAAGGTGCAAAGCCTTTAGACAGTGCTAGGGGTGGGACTCCAGGAGAAATGGGGACCCCAGGTAGGGATGAGGCCCCGGGGGAGTGGGGACCTCAGGGAGAGGTAAGGACCCCAGGGAGAGTGAGGACCCCAGGGAGGGATGTGGACCCTGGAAGGAGGGACTTGAACCTCAGGGAGGAGCGAGAACCCCAGAGAGTGGTGGGAATGCTGGGGGAGGGGCAGGAATCCCAGGGAGGAGTGGGGATGCTGGGGGAGGGATGGGGACCTTCCAGGGAGGGGCAGGGACCCTGGAGGAGGGGCGGGGACCCCAGGGGGGAGTGGTGACCCCGGGGAGGGGAAGAGATGCCAGGGGAGGAGCAAGGACCCCAGGGAGGGGTGGGGACCCAAGGAGGAACAGGGACCCCAGTGAGGAATGGGGGCCCCAGGAGAGGGGCAGGGATGCCAGGAGAGGGGAAGAAATCCCAGGGAAGAATGGAGATGCCAGGGGAGGAGCAGGGACCCTCCGGGGAGGAGCAGGGACCCTCCAGGGAGGGGTGAGGACCCCTGAGGGGGGTGCGGGGACCCCGGAGGGAGTGAAGATCCCAGGGAGGGGCAGGGTGCCTAAGGGGAAGCAGGGACCCCAGGGAGGAGTGGGAGCCCCAAGGAGAAGCAGGGACCCCAGGGAGGGGTGGGGACCCCAGGGAGGAGTGGGGGCCCCACAGAGAGAGGGCTGCTGGGCCACAGGTGGGGATGCTTGGGTGCCGAAATCTGGTCCAGCTAGAGCTGGGGACGGGATATCCTCCGTGTGCAGTCCCCTGGGACCGCAGGCTCAGGTGCGCAGGTGCCCCTGGGAGGCCGCGCCCCTCCCGCCGCGGGGCCCTCAAGGCACCCTCTCCCCGCAGGTGCACAGCAAGGACAAGAAGTACGTATGCAAGGTGTGCAGCCGGGTGTTCATGTCGGCCGCCAGCGTGGGCATTCGCCACGGCTCCCGGCGCCATGGCGTATGCGCGGACTGCGCGGGCCGAGGCATGGCAGCCC